ATAAATTGTATGAACTGTAAAAAAAATTATTTCCTTTTTTTCCCCTCAGGAATGGTGTGTCTCTGGGGACAGCTTTTGATAATATTTCAAGAGGCTCCGGCATGGCCTATTTCCCTGCCATCAGTCTGTCATTCAAGGAATCCGTTGCCTTTAACTTTGGCAGCCGCCCACTCCGATATCCTTTAAAAACGTTTTAACCAAAGAGTGGAAAATTCTTCCTGAGAAATGTCAATATCTAAAATGTATTATTTTTCCTTATTCGTGTTCATGTTAGCTTTTCAGTGATCCATTGAATCTTACAGTTATAATACCTAGAAAAAAACCACTTTCTTAGTGCATTTTGAACATATTTTACTTTTGTTACTCAGTAAAACTGAAGAATAACCATATAAGGTTTGTTTTTTAATTGAGGAACACCTAATAAGTTTTTACCTGAGCTGAAATTTAGGTAAGGGATTTCATCTCATGCTTTTGGTTAAGATGTTGTGCCAGATTTTTCCCCCCCTTCTGATATGTGGAGCTTTAAGAAAAAACAGAGACTCATAAGCATAATGGTAAAATTAATCCTATTTGTTTTTAGTTCCCACCATTTGCTCCTTAAGATGGGAAAACACAAACACTATAGTGTGTACCTAAAATACACTTGGCAATTAAAAAAATAAGAATAGCAACTATCTAAAAATTGAATCCAGAAAAAAAAACACCTCAGGATATCTCTCCCTTGCCCACTGCATGATGCAGTCACACTTGTAAGGCATTATTGCTCTTTATGGACTTTGCTCCTCTCCCAGAGAACCAAGGGCTGCCCTTGCCCATTGAAAGACTGCCTCTTTCTGGGCCAGGCATTTAGAAATTTTGGCTCAAAGAAGTAAATTGCTTTCCAGTATATTTCTTAATAATTCCCTACATATCCAGTGGAGGGATATCAGCCCTTACAGGATAAGCCAGCTGCAGATCTGATGAAAGCTCACAAGCTCCTGGGATACCTCAACAATGTTATTAAAGTAGATGTTTCGGTAAGATCGTATTTTCAGTGTTACTTTATTTATTTAGACGTGGTTCTATCAAAAACTTAGTTAAATTTATTTTATTTAGGTGTGTGTAGTGTATAAATATTTATGTTATTCAACCAAAGCTCTTTCAGCCACTTTCAAAGAATGAAGTAATAGAACACTCATAACACAACAAAACAGCATTTGAAGATTTGTCTTATTTTATGAAGATTAAGCTTTCTTATCTTCAAGTGTACACATGTATATATCAAAAATTAAAATGAGTATGATAAACGTCCCTTTGCTACACATATGCAGGCTCTGTGGAACTATATTTAGAGTTTGAAATATTAGTAAAATGAAAAGGAAATGCCTAAGGTTCAAATTAGATGGGTTTTTGGAATGGTGGTGAATAATGGGGAAGCATGCTACCATCCTGTATTTAATTTGTTAAATTTAATGAAATGAAACAAGTAAAATCTTCAATTTATATAGCTGTCCATTCCACAAAACAGCTCTGGGCAACTTATAGCAGGCTAAAACAATACAGAACACAAAGTAAAATAGCAGTAGTCAAAAGACCAAACCAGTCTAAACCACATAGCACATCAAAGGCTCCAACTCCTATAGGTTATGCAGTCTTGTGGGAACACAACCATAAAAGAGCCTTCAGAAAGACTGGTTTGGTGTGTACCAATCTATTCTTGGGGGGAAAGGTGTTCAGCAACTGAAAAGTCCTGCTTCCTAGCTCCTATAGATTTCTTTGAACTAACAGGACTCTACTGGATCTAAGGAGATGATCATGCAGATATTCTTAAATTGCACCTGGCAAACAATGCAGGAGAATGCTTGTGGAGAAAATGCAACATGCACACACCAAGGCTATTCATAACTCTCCATTCTGCTGCATTCTGTACCAGCTGCAGCTTCCAGATGCTCTTCAAGGATAGGCCCATGTAAAATGCATTGCAGTGACCCATTCAGGAAATTAAAGTGTAAGAAAAGTGTAAGGAATTAAAGACCTAAGAAAAGGCACATCTGGTACTGAAGATGAATTCATATGAAGCCCCTCCTGGCCACAGCTGCCACATGTTCCTCAAGCAGGAGCTATGAATTCAGGAGGATTCCACAACCTCCTGGGGGGAGGGTACCACAATCTTACCTGGAATAAGAGATCCAGGGGATCCAAAAGTCAACAACCATTTAGATTTGCTAGCCTGCTCTTTCCCATTCAGATCCCCCACAGCCTCTGGACAGAATCGGAAACTCTACTGCAGCATTTGGTTCAGTTGGGGGTGGGGGAATGTAAAGCTGGGTAACGTGTTATGCTGTATGTAATAGTAACTGCATTTTATCTGTCCTTCCCCTGCAAATAGCAGATAATAATGAACAGCATTAGGTGCAAGGAAGTTGCTGAACTCAAAGAAATATAGCACATAGTAATCTTTCAAGGTGGCATCATCTGGTATTGGGACTACAGGGCCAAAATTTTTCAAGTAACCACTATATAATATCTAGATAATGCCAGATTTGTCAGGATAATGAACTTGTTGCCTTTGTAAGGAACTATCCTGTATTTCTGAATTAGAGACTTGTTTCAAGGACTTCCTTAAGAAAATTCATGTAAATTGAGGATCTATTTAAAAAGTTGTGCAATCCTGAATGTTTTCTCTTTCAGGAAGGGAAGCTGGTAGAAAGAGACTCTTCCACCTGGCAACTCCAGGGGGAACCAACAATACTCATCACCCTGGCACACATTTTTAATAATTTTGCCCCTCTTATGGTGAGCTTCCTCAGTTTATATCTTAAGATTTCTTTCACTGTAGGATTTTCTACCTAATATAGTAGTGGACTTGTGTTTGTTTATTCAGTTGCAGAGATCATTCACACTGTGACACAGAATGTTGCATTTTTCCAGAGATAGCAAAATAGAAACCTATTTTGGATATCAATTCTAATCGGGGATCATGAGAATTTGATACGTAGTGAACACAAATTTGCCTTCCCCATCTACATTGATTATTAGTAATTTTCCATGATTTTAGACATATGCTTTTCTAGTTCCATGTGGTTTTGCTGCAGGTTAAACCTCAGAATATGGTCTTTGCAACTGAACTTTTATCCTTTCCAATCAATGTCTGAATTATTGGGATCAAGAAAAGATCGGGTCCTCTTCCTTTATTGGTGGGCTTTATGATCTGCTTTTCAGAAGGTTATGGGGAATATGTGAGTCATAAGGTTCTGAACATAATTTTGGATTTTATTTATTCTTTCCTATATTTTGAGGTCTGTTGCCAGCCAGTTTCATTCTCAAAAAAAAAGCAAGCTTTGTGAAGTTATACAATTTACCTTGTGCTGTTCTTTATATATGAAGTGCCTAAATAAAGAGAAGCAGTGCTGTTATGTATTTTTTAATTAAGCAAATCCCCTCACCTTCAAACTGTAACACAAAACTCCCCTCTCCAACTTAACTAATTCCAGGAAGGAATTACATCTTGTTCATCAGCAAAAGGGCTGCATTCTGCCACGTACAACAACAAACGGTGTATTTTCTCTTTGTGCGTAGGTCTATTGCCTAGGGCAGTAGTGGCGAACCATTGGCACGCGTGCCAGAGGCGGCACTCAGAGCCCTCTCTGTGGGCACGCGCGACGTCGCCCCAGTCCTAGGCCTTCAGCTGGGTTTTATAAAACCTTTTCACTTTAGGCCTCCACCGCCGTGTGCAAAAAAAAAAAAAGGTTCAATCAATCAGTCAATTTCAACTTCTCGCAGGGAAAAAAAAGATCTTGCAAAGTTGGAATTGATTGATTGAACTTTTTAGGCCCACCCAGTCTGCCGTTACCACCACGCCCACGCCCACCGAATGGGCCACACCCACCCAATGGGCCACACCCACCTGGCACCCGACGATGCATAAGTGGGTTTTGGGTTGCAGTTTGGGCACTCAGTCTCTAAAAGGTTCGCCATCACTGGCCTAGCGAAGGAATAGTGTTCTTTACAAAAGTTGTATACATATCTGGAACATTGTAAGAGAAGAATTGTACTATTTTAGAAATATGGCACTACTAGACTAACTGAGGAAGACAGTAATCTGTGGAGCAGACTGCACCTACAGTTCTCATGACATCCCAGGATTTTTTTTTTAATGAATTCTCATGAAACTGCAGCATGGGTATAGGTTTAATTTTTGTATCACTATTGGTTTGGTCTGTATGGTGGTCATTCTCAGTTCTGCTACTTTAAGGACTCTTTTTGTACAGTGCAAAGTGTACTTAGTGGAAGATGTGCTCATGAGTTTCCTGCTTGGAATCTTGGAAGGGGGAGGAGCTGTAGAAGCACATCCTCTTATTCAGCAGTTACTGGATCTTATGTGGCTTCTCATGGAGGTGAGTTTCATTATGTCTTTTGCATTCTAATAATTCTGGGCTGCTTCTGTTCTCCATTAGGGCTACTTAGTGTAAATGTCTTCTGTTTCTTTTCTTCAGGATTATGAAGTTCACGAATGCCTCAAGCAGCTGTTGATGTCCCTGCTCAGAGCGTACCGCTTTTCTCCCATAGTTCCTGATCTTGGCTTACAGGTGAGTGATATTATTTTGTGACATACCAGAAAAAATTCTTGATACCAAAGACAGCATGAGAGACAGATTTTTGGCCCTGATTACAAACTTACAAGTTGTAAATCTCAACTCGGTGCCTACCAAATGTGTTGGATGTCAACATACTGCTATGAGTGGTCATGTTACCTAGTGATTATAGCAATTAATACAACTTGCATCAGGGATCAGTTTGGAGAAGAATATTCTAAATCATGTAAGAATTCTAGGTTACAGGTAGTCCTCAACTTATGACCACAATTAGAACTGGAATTTCTGTAGTAAGTCATTGTGGTCATAAATCAGGCCTGATTTCATGACAATTTTTACAGTGGTTGTTGTTAATCACATACAATTGTTAAGCAAATCCAGCTGCCCAATGGTGCATTTTGCTGGAAAGAGGCAAGAAAAGTCACAAATCACATTCATATGATTTGCACACTGCAACTGGCCATAAATGCAGACAGGTTGCCAAGCCCCCAAATTGAGTGGTGCAATGGTTATGGGTGCAAGTGCAAGTTATAAGTTTTTTCCCAGATGTTATAACTATGAACTGTCATTATAGTCATAAGTCAAGGATTACCTGCACTGGTCTCTATAAATTGATTATCCTTTTTCCTCTTTTTTTCTGTCCAGATCCATTATCTTCGCCTTACTATTGCCATCCTAAAACATGAGAAATCCAGGAAATACTTGCTCCATAATGTCTTGTATCCTTTCTTTATATATTGTTCATAGTTGTTTAGATTTCTCAGTGATGCTTATTCACTGACATTATCAGATTATTCCAAGTATAGGCAGTGTTAAATGTAAAATAGTGTCCTCCTGTTTTGTGAGAGTTATCTTTCAAATAATAATTAACTGTTGATGAGGCCATGCATTAGTTCAGATTGAGTTCAGAAGTGTGTGTTCAGTGTATGAGAGCCAAATACAGAATCTGTTTCCATTTCATTAAATCAGCATACCTGTTTTCAGAATTATGTCACAATCCTGGAAACATATGTGAGTGCTTTAATATTGAGCCATAGACAGGTGCTGCATTTGTGCTTCTGTTGAATCAAGCAAATTCTGAAGCATTTCTGCTGAATCAAACATTGGTAAGCTCTGTCATTGACAACTAATTTGTAAATATATTTCAGGCAGCATTCTTTGAAGTTTGAAATATAATATATTGGGGCAGAATCCTTGGAGCATGAGGAAATGACAAGATTCTAGTCAAGGAATGCCTAAGCAATTGAAAGTTTGATAATTGCTTCCCTTATATTACCCTTATTTTGTTTCCTTTCACTTTTGAGGAATATTGCTGCGATAGGAAATCTTTGGAGAACATTTATCCCTTTTTTATCTTAAAATTTCCATAAATAGATGTAACAGATTAGATTGTTTTACTTCAACTTTATTATAATGCTGTCTCCCCACCCTATCTAAGTACTAAATCACTATCATCTTGAACTGTTTACTGATTGTGTGCCACCCAGTTGTTGATTCTTAATCATATAGGTAGATTTTGTCCAAAATGATCTCTCCCTAACTTGGTCCTACAGGTCTTCTAACAGTGCTCCCATTTCTTGACCTCAGAGCAATAAACTATTGAATGCACTAATTACTGCACAGTGCTAGGTAGAGCTGTGTCCTTATGGTGCAGTTTTATCTTAACTTTCCCATGTTTCTTAATGATTGATCTAGTTAAGATCAACAGCCTATAGTACTCTGTCTCTTAATTGGACAGCCAGATATCCTGGGAAGCCCTTAATTAGGAAATGAAGTAGTAACCTTCTCCTATTCCTTTCAGCAGTTATGCCTAATTGGATTCTGTAGTGCTTTAGGTTTAATTTTTGTCTCATTTTTTATTATATTTTTGTAAAATATATTTTGATACAGTAGTAATTTTCAATATTGATTAAAGATTAATGTTTATATAACTTAGACCATTCATTAAAGATAAAAAGAGAGGTATTGTAGCAGTATTCATTATGATTTAAAACATCAATGTTAATAGTATAAGTTTATTTAGCTTTCTCATCCAGAAAACAATTGCAAGTTGCATCAAGGTATTTGTTGTGCAAAAAAGCTTTTTGTCTAAAGCTGGTATTAAGGTCTCTCACAGGCATGAAAGATCAGAACCACACATGAACTTCCAATTAAACTATTTTGTTACTAATGATACCTATGCACAAAAAACTACTTTAACAGCATCAGGTTGATGTTCGATAAGGGTCAGTGGAATTCAAGAGAGGTTGGACTTGGACTTGGTCTGTGACTATGTAGAGATTCTAGGCTGATTACTCTTTTGACTCCACCCTAAGGTTCTGCCAGTCCTCCTACATTCTCCAGTGCACTGTTACTTAATAATATTTGTGCATGTTAAAAATATGAACATAGCAAATTGGAGAATTAAAATGAAAAAAGAAAAAGGCTATTCAATTTCTAACTTTCTCCTTTTTTGTGCTTCTACTAATTTACATATTTATAAACATTTGGCTCCGTTTATCAATAGTTTTAATTTTCTAAATTGAAAAAAATATTTTTTTCTGAATTTTTTTCCTTACCTTTCCCAAAAGCATACATGGTATAATTATTTCTGAAATTGAACTCTACAGTGGATTGTTACATTTCTACTCCTATTCCACACTGGCATTTTCATTGAGCTCTACATTATTACTTCAGGGTCTCCTAGGAAATAATCACGTTGAGATTTTCTTCAGCACACATCTAAAATTGTGTGTGTACAGAAATTTGACATACTATAGTATACATCACTTACATGTGTTTTTAGATAAAATCTAATTTGCATTGGCTTTTTATTGTAATAAATAATTTGGAGTTAGGGAAGCCACATTAACTGACACCTAACTCTTGATCATCGTATAAATATCAAAACTGGTACAATTCTTTAAATATTCCATAGTGAAAACTATCATAAGCTGATTTTTGTTGTGGTTAGAGGGCTACATCACTGACATTCAGTCAGTGACACATGCAAACTAAAAACTCTTGGAGGCAGTCTCTTTCTTTGACTAGAACAGCTGTTTGAATTTTAGATTTGTATGATGGAGTTTAGTTGAAACATGGCCTTAGAAAATGTATCAAGTTCCTCTGCTGGAGAGTTTGTGTACAGTTTTATTCCATTAATAAATAGGAAATAATTTCTGGTGTTTTTAACTGGAGAATTCTTCTTTAATTGCATTTAAGGCTGCTTTATGTGCTATATAGGAAACCTCCTTCTATTAGGTCAAGTTATTTGTGCAGCTAGCTTAACTCTTAGGTATGCTCCAAGTTATTGCTGGAAATCTCAGCTCTCTAGATTCCTGATTCAGGAATTGGCTTTCTCTCAGAAGGCTTGGCTGGATTAGTTACTTTATTTAGAATGAGTCCATATCGAACCAAATATTTGCATATTTCAGTTCATAGCTTAATTTCAAATGCCTTACAGAGCTGATTTCAGGAAAACTTTTGGTGTGCAAAATTATTTTAACTCACTTCAGGGTTCTTTTTCCCTTAGATTCACAGATACACTTGTCTTGAATTACCACCCAATTTCCTTAATTCCTTCCAGATTTGATGTTCTTCGCTCAGTTGTATTTTTTTATATCAAGTCCCCTTTGCGTGTGGAGGAGGCTGGCTTACAGGAGTTGATACCCACCACCTGGTGGCCAAATCGCTTCAACAAGGAGGTGAAGAATATAATCAGGGAATGACACAGTGGTCTTAACACCTGTGATTCAGACTTTATCAGGATGTATTCTGAACATAATAAAATTATACAGGTGGTAGTGAAGCACTTTGGGGATGGTTACTGTCTCTTATCAGCTGTTTTAGCTCTTGTTTCCAAGCTTTTCTGATCCATCCCCCTTTTTATTCATGTTTTATTGGTAGAAATTTTTTAAAAGCCCAATTCCCCACTGGCTTTGAATGATTTGAGTACTTTATATTCAATGTTTATAAAGCAGGTTTATAATTCTGTTGCTGCCTTCTTTAAATGCAGGGCAAAGAGACTAAAGAGATAAAGAATGAGAGTTCTGAAGAGAGACTGAGGAGGCGAGCCTATGAGAGAGGGTGCCAGCGGCTTAAAAAACGCATTGAAGGTACAATAATTGGTTTATGAAATTTGGATTTTCGTGGCATTGTAGATCAGAGTTTTGCAACTTTTTATGGGCTGAAGGCTTCAGTTGGCATTTGGGTGGCATATGTGCTATACATGGATAGAACAAGTAGAATTTATTACATTATTTACATTACAGTTAATTACATTAAATCTAGCTATTTTTGTGATGTTTTAAATTTTCAAGTTTTAAACAATTTTCCCTTTTGATCACATTAAGAATGAAAGATTTTAGAGGTCACATGCAAGGCTGTTGTTCCTCAGCTAATACACCTGTACTGGTGTCTAAGGCTTGAAATCACCGTGATCAATACCTACCGGTATGAATCATAGCTTGATTCCAGTCTGCAAAGAAAATGTACAAACCGAAGCTGGATATTGCAGTGCTGTCAATTTTATTTGCTTTCATACTCCAAAATGTAATACTGATCAACTCAGTTCTCCTCTTCTCAAGGTTATCTGGAGCAGCCTACTAAAACTTTTATTTATCTTTTGGGAGAATAATGAAATAATGTAAATGGGCTGGTTTTCTTTCTAGAGTTTCTATATAAGACTTGAATAAATTCATTATTGGTTTCTCAGTAGAACATGGTAATGGACTCACCCAATGTTTCTAAAAGTTATATTATTTTTTTCTTTTGTAGTGGTGGAAGAACTCCAAGTGCAGATACTGAAGCTGTTGTTAAATAATAAAGATCATGGTGTGGTAAGGCCAGTTTAAATAACTGAAAGGCTGCAGTAATTCTGAATATAAACTTGCTTTATGCTATTGTACTATAGTTTTTCCTTTCTTTGCTTGTATTTTAAGAACTAAAAGCTATGTATATCTATGCAGCTCCATACTCCTTGCTGTTAGCTTCATAAAACATTGATTAATTTAATGAGATATTGAGAGTACTTATTGCAGGAACATACAGTTACTTTGTTAAACAAATCTAATATCTTACTTGATTTTGAGGGATATATCTTGCTAATGCTTGATTTAGCATCCAGGTAATAAATTTATTTTAAAGTATGTTGTTTGTCCTTTCCATTGAATCTGACTGTTAACTGCAGGCTGCAGTCATATTAAATTCTAACATTTAATAAACACACTAAGAATTAGTGCTGCTCAGAATAAGTGAGTGTTTTTAGTTAGGTCTCTTCAGGTTAAATATAGTACCTTATATGACACTTTCAGGGTTTTTTAAGGAATCTTGTTTGAAATCATGTTGAAGAATACAAAAATTTAGTCTATATCAGTGATGGCGAACCTTTTAGAGACTGAGTGCCCAAACTGCAACCCAAAACCCACTTATGCATCGTCGGGTGCTGGGTGGGCGTGGCCCATTGGCTGGGTGTGGCCCATTGGCTGGGCGTGGCTGCGGTGGTAACAGCAGACCGGGTGGGACTAAAAAGTTCAATCAATCAATTCCAACTTTGCAAGATTTTTTTTCCCCGCTAGGTTGAAATTGACTGATTGATTGAACTTTTTTTTTTTTTTGCACACGGCGGCAGAGGCCTAAAGCGAAAAGGTTTTATAAAACCCAGCTGAAGGCGTAGGACTGGGGCGACGGCACACGTGCCCACAGAGAAGGCTCCGAGTGCCGCCTCTGGCACCCGTGCCATAGGTTCGCCACCACTGGTCTATATTATTCGATTTTTGTAATATTTAATATGAGGGCAATTCAGAAATAAACCTCCGTTTTATTATCAACACTTGCAGATACAGAATTTTTATTATACACATTAGAAAACTACAATGTTACTTTTCAACATAATCACCATTCAAATTGAGGCACTTGTCATAACATCTTACAAGGTTTGAAATTCCTTATTAGTAGTCGCTCGGTGCCAAATCTGGGCTATAGGGGTATGTGATCAAAAGCATCGCAACGGAACTGCTTCAAAAGTTCTTGGGTGCGTTTAGTGGTGTCCGGGCGAGCATTATTGTGAACCAACATCACACTGGAAGTGGTGCCATAGAAAATCCTGCCAAATGTGAAGATGCCAACGGAGTACTGCTGGTGAAATTCATGGAGCATGGTTCGACCATCAGTTCAGAAGTCTACTATGAAATGTTATGAAAACTCAGACGAGCCATCCATAAAAAGCATCGGGGCATACTGACTTCCAGTGTGGTGTTGGTTCACGATAATGTTCGCTAGATGCACTTAAGAACTTTTGAAGCAGTTCCAGATTTGGTGCTGAGTGACTACTACTAAGGAATTTCAAACCTCATAAGACGTTATGACAGGTGCCTCAGTTTGAATGGTGATTATGTCAAAAAGTAATGTAATGTTGTAGTTTTCTAATATGTATAATAAAAGTTCTGTATCTGCGAGTGACTGTCATTGGAAGTTTATTTCCGAATTTCCCTCGTATAATCACTGTTCAGAATTTTTTAAATTACAAGTAATCCTCAGTTAATGACTGTTGTTCAGACCAGCAGCTTTGTTGTAAATGCCAAAGTCGTAAAGTGAAAAATAATGTGACTGGGCTGATTTACAACAGCAGTCCCAGTTACAGTCTTTAAGTAAGCCCTGCATGGTTGTTAAACACAAAGTCACATGACCACGATTTGCAACTTTCTGCCTGCTTCCCCATGGATTTGTTGGAAGCTAGTTTAGTAAAATAAATGTTAACTGGAACACAGTATCACAAAGTGTGTGATTAATTTCAAGTTGAAATTATTTTAAACAATTACCATTTAAAAAAAAACAAAAAGTCACAGTAGAAAATAGTCTGTCAGTATAAAAATTATCATATTATAAAAATACAATATGAAATTGCTCTTTAAGGTTCTTTAAGACCAAAATTGAAACAAAAGAATCTGATTTTAAAATATTTCATAATCTCGATGGGACTCCCCTACACCAGTTATTGGTTCTTTTTTCAGGGAGGAGCTTCCAGGTACATCTTTCTAAATAAATTCCGCAAGTTTCTTCAGGAAAATGCCAGCAATCGAGGGGTAAGTGAAGAAGAAGAATATTATGTTTTTCATCCATTGTTGCATATTTGATTGTGTTGCTCAGAAGTATATTTTTAAGCAAGGATATTATTGTGCCTTAATTTACATGCCAGCAATCTCTAAAACTTTTCTGCTGATGAATTCCATGCCAACAGATGCTCCTTGCAGTTCTATTTTCTCTGTTAGCTTCGCTAATTCATCTGTCTGGGATATTTTTACATATTGATTGTTCAAAAAAGATGCTAATGAAGCTTAATTGTTTTTAGAGTAGTTGAATCTTAGGTGAGCATTTCACCTAGTAAAGTAAAATCAGATCATCAGTAGCTTAATCCTATATTACAATAGAAATGATATACAATGGTTCTAGCAAAACACCCCCCAAAGATGGAAGAGTCTCTCCATTTGGGGAGATATTTTTCACTATGTTCCCCTGTTTTTACCTAAAATCTGTTCTAAAAGGTGAGGAGGATGACTGTGGGAATTAGACTGTGGAGACAAGAAGCACTGGATGGAAATTAATCAAGGAGAGAACCAACCTAGAACTAAGGAGAAATTTCCTGACAATTAGAACAATTAATCAGAACAATCAGAAGTTATGAGTGCTTCAACACTGGAGCTTTTGAAGAGGAGATCATATTCTCAACAGTACTTGACTTGGGAATACTCCTGCCATTGGGGAAAAATATCATGGATTCCACTCATGTGCAATTCTGAAATATATATATATATTTCATATATATATATATATGATTTGTTGGAGAATTGTTAGAGAATGTTTCTGGTTAATTTTTTCCCCTTTTTTCATAGCCATGCTCAGATAGGGGAGCTTGAAGGTTCCTTAGAGATTCACTTGAATACTATGTGGTGCCTATTCTGAGAGCAGACATTACAAGGAATACTGCATTATTTTGGGCTCTTGCTAAGATGTTTTGCCCCCCTCTCCCCATGTTTTCTGATACAATTCCACTGCTTCAAATAGAAAGAGATGCTATTTTTTTGTGGGGAAATAGGCATGTCCTCTTGTGGAAATACAAAAAGGGAAGGGTAATATGCATCACTCATATTTAACTGAATTGAGATATCTAGCATTACTCCTGAAACTGTTAGTTTAACTGCAGAGGATTGTTGCACTTTTTTTGCCTTTAGAATCTGACCGTGTTATGTCCTCCAGAATATATGGTGTGTTTCTTGCATCGACTCATAGCAGCTTTGAGACATTACTGGAATGAACATAAGATGAAGAAAGCATCAGCATTGAATAGTGAAGGTAAAATGCCGTTAACTTTGAAAAATCTGATAGCATCTATATTGGCATGTGACTGAAAGTTGAAGAATGGACTCTTCAGCTAAAACTAATTTCTTTTAAAGGATTCTGGAGAGGTGTGATAAGATATTCTTGATCTTTTTTTATTCCAAAATTACAAATTAGATTATGATATTAGGAGGATCACAGTTACTGTTCAGAAAGATTGTCATTTTAAAAAGTGCTGACATTCTCTCTTCTCACAATGAAACTTTCTACTCAAAGAGTGAGGAGAAGAACAGTTAAAACAGAATATGAGGCCAAGTTGAAATGTTGGCCAAATTTAGCACGGACTTTGAAACATGAACTGTACCAAAATGTATTTACCTTAAATCAGAAATTTGCACATAATCTTAAGAAGTTCTTGAAAGTTGCCTCTTGTGAACAGCTTTAATATATTTCTAAAACATTATTTACTGAATTTACACTGCTCCCTTTTCTAAGTTTTGAAACCTTCTGATATATTTGATATTTTATGTTTCTGCTTTAAAACTGTAGGAATCTATTGTCTCAATGTATATTTCATTCTGCAGTTATAACTTAGATTGCTTTTTTCAGGCTGTATTCTAAAACATGTCCTAAAAATCTGTATGTAATTCATAACCATCCCAGTTATTTATTGTCAAAGAATACTAATTCCTTCATCCTAGATAACATATCTATTTTCTGCAGATGCTTATGTTCCCCCTCAGCTCTTTTATAATGGGAAGGTAGATTACTTTGACCTACAGCGTCTTGGCGGGCTCTTATCTCATCTCAAGAAAACTCTGAAAGGCAAGTGACGTTTTTGATGCATGTTATGTGTAATTTTTAATCATTCTTTTTAAAAATTATGAGTTTTTTATTTTGTTTGTTTATTTATATTTTATGTTTCTAGACCACTCATCTCCCTCAAGGAGGAGCTCTATTTTACAAAAAAATAAAAAATAGAAAAATTACAGAATATAAAAAAAAAACAAAAAACAAAACCAACCAGAAAGAATAGAAAGAGGTAAAACCATCAATGAAACTCATTTTAGCCAAATATCAAACAGAATTCTGAGTCTACTTTAGGACCAAATACATTAAAGATTGCCTAACATTACACAATATTGAAAGTCTATGCCACAGAAAAATATATTGGGTCATTTTTTTTATTAGTAGACAGAATTGCTTTTTTGAAAATGGTCACATGTCTCGAATGCAATCCTTCATCTCAGAAATATTAATTTTTCAAATAATTTTAGTAACATCCTAGGCCTAATAGAATCATAATTTCTCAACAAAATAAAATAATAATATATAATTAAATTCTAAAGTTTTAGCATATGCATGGGTAGAAAACGATGTTGGATATTCAACACATGTAACACCATTGTTGTGTGAGCTGCATTGGCGGTCAGTGTGCTTCCAGGTTCATTTCAAGATACTGCTTCTCATCTTTAAAGTCCTTTATGGCTTGGGGCCATGTTACCTAAAGGACTGTCTTCTCCCATCCAATTTCATCTGGCAGGTGAGGGATTTTATGACTTCTGTCAGCCAAAGAATGTCAGTTGGTGGGGAACAGGAGATGTGCCTTCTCTGCCGTTGGCCCTGCCCTCTGGAACATTCTTCCTTCAGAGATTAGGATGAAGCCAACCTGTTGGTCTTTTATAAGGCCTTGAAAACTGGTTATATACCCGAGCCTGGGACCCCTTTCTTGGCTACATTAACATCCATGGCAGTTTTATTTGGTCACCATATATATATATATATTTATTTTGTATTTCTAAATAGGATAGATAGATAGATAGATAGATAGATAGATAGATAGATAGATAGATAGATAGATAGATAGATAGATAGATAGATAGATAGATAGTATTATTTTTAGTCACTTCTTGAGATGAACAGCTATAGAAATTAAATAAATAAAAATATAACCTAATTAAAATTATCTATTTTAATACAAAAAATTCTCTATAAAGCTATTTTACTAACCCTAGCCCTACAACTATTGAAGTTCTGTTATTGAATATTCTGATTCTCTGTTCCATAAAGCTCCTTAATATCAACTACAAATGTTCTTTAGTTTTTGATATTCAAAAGATGTGGGTTTAATTTCAAATGCTTTTATCTATCCATCAATGGAATAGTTTTCTCCAAACCAGTAGGACCAGGTTTGGTTTGGAAAGAAAAACCAAAAAAGAAAAGAAAAGAAAAAAACAAGTTTGAAAATGTGCAGATGTGACTTGGGGCTGCAGAGAAAAAAATCCAAAACATTCTCCCAGTATGTCCTTTTGGGAAAAGCAATTCAGCAATCTCTTGAAGTATTGGTGACTCTGCCATTTTAAGCCTCTCTCCCTCCTGATCTCATAGTCCAGAACTGAACTGCTGATAAAGGGTTGGAAGAATTCCAAAAACATGGTATCTAGGCTATTCTTGCCTTGCTATATTTTCAGTTTGTTAACTGTTAGGAATTTGAGATCTGAACATCACTAGTGGCAATTAATTGGCAGGTGCTAACTGATCATCTGACGTAACCATCAGATGCCATGTTCTCTTTCCTCATAATCTTTCTTGGAAACTGTATTTTAATTTGAAATTTAAATAGAAGCTATTCGGTTTGAACCATTCTGCAGATGCTTTTCTAAATAAAAGGGAGTCCTCAGGACAACAAGCCACCCTTGGAAAATTTGCTATTTCAGGCTCATTAACAAAAGCACTAAATTACAACCCTCAGCACAGATGTGTTTTGGATGAAACTGAAAAAAATAGTTTTAATAAGTCATAAAAACTGATGACTTAGTTGCATTTTAAATAGAACATTCTAATGCAATTATTACCTTTAAAGCTGTATAAGATGACTCAGTATGTAAAACCTAGAAAAATAGGATGTTATCCTTTGATTCTGTCCTTGCCCTTTTAAGGACAAAATAGTGTGCTATGTTATTTATATCCTATCACAGGATGCTAAGATGAGTCACAATTTTTAAAACATAGACCAGATCAGAAACAATATACTAATTCTTCTAAAATATAAACGTACTAGTGAAAGCATTGATTAAAATGCTGCATGTTAAAAAATATAACAAAAATCATATTGTCCCAAAGACTAATTTAAAAAATCTGTGGAATCTTTGGTGTTCTCTGAGCTTGGTTTGCCTGCAGATATTTCATTACCCAACTAGGTAGTGAAAAGTCTGCAAGAAAATAACCAAGCTCAGAGAGCATCCAGGACTCCAAAGTTCAATCCTGAGCTACAGATATTCTCTTCTATTGGTAAAAAAGCAGCCATTTAACCCACAATGTCTGCAAAATGAAACAATTTTCAGTATCTTCCTAACTCAGCACTGAAAAGGCCATTTGGATTGCTGGGAATTAGCTGTCTCCTTACCCTTGGGCAGCCCCTGAGAAGGCCTGTCACTAGGCTTTCACCCCTTTCACTGCTGGTGGGGGGACGGGTACCTGAAGCATCCCTTCCCTAATGGAACAGAAGGAGTGGGCAGATAACGGGCAGCCAAGCCATCGCAGGGTTTTTGTTGTTGTTGTTGTTGTTTGGTTAGCAGCTGCCCTTTAAATTTGTATTTAGAATCCTATTGGCAACTGGCGCAGTGTTTGTGAAACTGGAACCCACCAGAAAGTGGACCACTGTATTCTGAACTCTATGCAGTTTGGGGGTATTTTTCAAATGCAGACCCAAGCAAAGTACAGTGTAATGGTTTAGTCTCAAGGTGTCGATAGCACGAATCTCTGCCTCCTGGACTTTCCACTCCAAAAAGGGCCATGCCAGCCAGAGTTGGACAGAGGCTTCCCTAGGCATGGCCTCTACTGCTGATTAAAGCGGGAGCCATGAGCCCAAGAGAACGCCTAAGTTGTGCACCTGCTCCTTTGTCTAGAGGCAAAGAAAAGCTGAAATAGAGGCATTAGAACAGTGCCTGTGTTTTTGCTAGGTTTCAGTTTTAGCTTGTTTTCTGTCATCTAGCTCCTTTACCTTTCAGATACCAGGTAAGGTTCTCCACTACTTGTCCAGCTAGAGCAGTGTTTATAACTAGTTAATATGTTTATGACATATTTATTATTCTTCACCCTAAACTGATAGTTAACCTCTCCAAGCAGCTCTTATTGTAATCTTAAATAGCATAGGGGAGAGAACTGAGCCCTGAGGCATTTCAATTAGGAGTGGCTGGTGATTTCACAACTCCTCCCTCCTAGCTCTGTATAGCAAGAAGAACATCAGATAGTATAATACTAAAGGTTCTGATAGGTTTGCAAATGTTGTAAGAAACCGATGATGTTTTGGGGGTTTAAGAAAAAGATCAATAGGCACTGAATAAGCATTTAAGCTTATGGCCCATTAAGGTCTTTCCATCCAAAATATTAGTATCTGAAACAGCAAAATAATAATCACATTCATAGGATTATGTTGATTCAGAAGTGTCATGGGATGGCTTAATTTTGTTTTGCTCTCCCCCTGTGGTGTTAATCCTGAGAAGTATCCTTGATATACAAATCCTATTTAGATCTTTCTTGTTATATTACTATTTGGCCTTCCGCTAGTGGGAAATAGAATGAGAAATCAAGTTAGGAAAAGAAAAGCGTTCAAGCAACTATACCTGACAATATCACTGCACTGTTTATTCACACAGATGATTTGGCCTCAAAGGTGAATATTGTAATTGATCCTGCAGAACTTCAGGCTGTGACAATGGATGATCTTGATGAAGATGAAGAATCAGCAGTGTCAATAGCACAAGTGAGCCTTAGAAATGGGGCATAAAATGGGTCAAAGTTTCATTTAAAGTTGGCAGCAGCAGTGAAAAGTTCTTGATAAGCTTATAGAAATTGTTTTGAGTAGTGAGGAAAACAAGTGGTGTGTAAAAACACCCCGAGATGGGTAGCCTTATAGCAGTGGTGGCGAACCTTTTAGAGACCGAGTGCCCAAACTGCAACCCAAAACCCACTTATGCATCGCCGGGTGCCGGGTGTGCGTGGCCACCGAGTGGGCGTGGCCACCAAACTGTCGTCTCGTCTCGCTTGCTCACTTGCTGTCCGCTCCGACTCGTGCTCTCTCTCTCTCTCTCTGTCTGCAGCAAATGCTCCTTCCACCAAAAGTTGGTCCTTTTATAGCCTCTCGCCTATTCCCAGACTGCGCATGCGCAGAGAGGAGGAGGGAGCAGCTCAGCCCAGTAATGGCTCATGTGCCACCAGAGACGGCTCTGCGTGCCACCTGTGACACACGTGCCATAGGTTCGCCACCACAGCCTTATAGCATTACAATTATAAGGCATTCAGATATGAAGTACGCAGACTCAAAGGTGTATTGGATTAGGGAACAGTTCTAAAGGCAAAGAAAACTAAAACCTTTGGCTAAGAGTGAAAAGACTTTCTCAGTGCTGGCATAATATTTATACTGTAACATCTCTTCTCAAAAACATCCTCCTGCTATTTCCTTTGCAGGGGAAGTAATAATGGGTACTGGGTAACGTGCCTTTCATTTTTAAATCCTTTTGGATTTAATTTTAATCCATCTCACATACGTGACTCTGAGATGCTTACAAGATTCAAATAAGTCCACCAAACCAAGTATGGTCCACTGATAGAAAAAAATATCAAATTACCCTTTGCTATTGGTAATACACTGAAGAGAATACAAACTGTGGTTCCTACTATAGTTTTCCAGTAGCTTTATTCCAGTTATGCTTGGCTATATGAGATCGCCAGATCTTCCCTAGATTTTAAGTAAGATGAAAATGTTTAAAAAAACATTTTTGTGAATGGTAATATTCTGATTAGCTACTTGAATATCAAAGATTTGTGCAGGGTTCAAGCTGGCTTTTTTTTCACTGAGAGGAAGAATTGTTGTAGCTGAACAAATACTACTGCATATCTTTGTCATTCTCATTCTCTCCCCCCCCCTTTCTCATTCTCTCCCCTTCTTTCCCTTTCTCTCTCCTTCCCTCTCTCTCAGCGTCCAGCGGCTGCACTGGCAATTGGGGGAGCCTTGGCCAGGCCAAGCTGGCTCAGTTCTCCCACCTTAGGGCGAGCTAACCGTTTTCTCAGTACTGCAGCTGTGAGCCTGATGACCCCAAGACGATCACCAGGTTCCATAGAGAAGGTTAAAGTCCGTACATTGAACATGGAACAACGAACAGAGGAGGACAGTGAGTTATATATAAAACTGTATTCTGAAAATAAAAGCACTAAAGAAAATTTTAAAAATATAGGTGAGGGAGGGGAAACCCTCCAAATCATTGCTATGCACAACTTTGCAAGCGGAAGCAAATTTTTAATAGTCATTGATTATTTACCTTCAAGTTGTTGTTTTTTTAAAAACAAATTTTATTGGTTTTTTTAGTTCTTAATACAAAGTGCTCAAGACACACCGTGGTGTTGGGGCAATCAAAAATTCAAAAACAAAACATATGTGAGTGGCTCAATCAATACATCAAATATTCCCTCTTCCTTCAAGTTGTTTTTGACTCATACTTACAACATAGATTTTTTTTTCCATAACAATTTACCCCTAACATGTTCTTTCAAATCTGTTAATGGTGCAAACCATTGCCACTGTAAGTGAGCCATCCATCTTGCTCTGATCATCCTTCTCTTTCCTTACTTCTTTCCCAGTGCCTTTTCAGGTGAGCTGGGTCTTTGTGTAATGTGTTAAAAGTAGGATGATTTTACTGTAGAGTATGTTTTATGGCTGAAGGACAAGATTTATACCTCTTTTTAGTTGGTATGTGGATGTGTTATAAGGAACTCTATGACTAGAATGCAAGCTTTGTGCCTTCTGCCTGAAAGATTATAGGAACTGTATTACACTTGCAGATGGTTTTGAGTAGCAAGTAAAGAATAAAAAAATTAATGAAATTTAATTATTCCAACAAAGCTGAAGAGGAGAAAGAGGCAAGGCTCATTCTTTTGGAATATAGGTTGAAAAGAAAGAATTAATAGAGGAAAATGTGTAGAAGAATGAAAAACAGCTGTAGACGTTTTTCTATTTAGATTTAGTTTTAATGTAGCATGAATGAAATTCATGATTAAAACATCAACATTTCCATTAGAAAAGTGTAGATACTCTTTTCACAATTAACAGATTCTTACACTTAGCAGTGGCTTGCTTAGAAACTCTTGTTTGTTTTTATGACAGTTGAAGGTAGCCGTGGAAATGAAGGTCTTCTATTGGGGAAACCTACAGAAGAGCCGGATCAACCAATTACCGAGAATTCTCTCCTGGAAATCTTGGATGGAATAGTCATGATGTACAACCTCAGCGTGCATCAGCAGCTTGGTAAGGTGAGCAGGATTCATTTTAGTGAAGTTCCTAATTCTGTTTCACTCTTAGAACTGGGATGACAATTCACTTCATAAAGAAACAAGGATCCACTGAGAAAGGGTGGGAAGTGCTAAATTTGTAATAATTGTTCACCTACTTTTTGCCTCATACTGTATCTTATCGTGACAGATCCATGTTATTTGATGTCTTTGGTCACCAAGAATCAGTAAAACAATAGGTATCTAATATTTTTCATTTTGAGAAGCAGAAGCTGCAGAGGATCTTAAACTCCCAAGACTAGAAACAAACCTGGCTGATAGAAAATGACTTAAAGGCAAGTAGGGTTCCAAGTGAGAAAGTAATAAGTGGAGGAAGTCATTCTGCTAGAGCAGGGCTTTTCAACCTTTTCACCCATTGTACCACTTTTAGGATATGGCAAAATCCGAGTACCACCAATCGCCTAGCAAGGTGTCAAAAACTTGATGACACCCCCCCAAAAAAGGAAAAAAAGTGATGAAGTACAGATAGTCCTCGACTTACAACAGTTCGCTTAGTGATTGTTCGAAGTTACAATGGCACTGAAAAAAGTGCCCCCCAAGCCACAGCTGAGCAAGACACCTGCCTGCCCACCCGGCGGCGCTCTTCCTTCTGTCCGAGGTTTTCATTGTTGTGAGCATTTCTGTTGAGGATTGGCAGCAGGGGTGGGGTGGGGGGTGTTTGGTTTTTATTCCCCTCCCCCGTCTGCTGGGTGGTTGCAGCAGGTTTTGGTCACTTCACATGCCCCTGTGACACTGTGACCGTCATAAATATGAATCAGTTGCCAAGCATCTGAATGTAAATCACAAGACCCTGGAAATGCTGCAACATTCCAGCTGATCGGCAGTTCTTCTGGGCTCAGCAGAAGCACCAGGATCAGCGCCGAGCTCCAGCTGGAGCCTGGCGCTGATCCTGGCGCATCCACTGAGCCCTGACAGTCCCGAAGAAGCACTGATCCTGGCGTTTCCGCTGAACTGACAGCCCTGCAGCTCCAGCCATCTCTCGCTCAGGCTTGTGTGGTGCTGCCACCAGTTCAACTCATTCCCCTCCCCTGCTACCACTTTTCTAGGATGGTTGGGTACCACCTGCCAGGTGCCAATGTACCACAGGTGGTACCCGTACCACTGGTTGAAAAGCCTTGTGCTAGAGAGCATTCTCCAGCATATTGTTTTGTTGCTGTTGACAGCAGCCTGCCATCAACAGGGGTCTGTCACTATTTTGCAGTTGTCCTCAAAACGCTAATTTTGTACTGGTAAAAATTGGTTCTGGGCATTCCAAAATATTGCAGCTGCCAGTCTAATCACATTCAGCATTTTTGCTTTACCTTTGGTAAATATCCTATCTTTTTCTTTAATGTCTTAAGAAATCTCCAGCTGGTATTATTGACATTTAATTGTATTTCAGATGGTAGGTGTTTCTGATGATGTGAATGAGTATGCTATGGCATTGAAAGATACGGAAGAAAAGATCAGCCGATGCCCAGAAAGGGTAAGAAACTCTTCTCTGTGCTGCCTTTTCAGTTTGTTCTTTGGGAAAAGTTCGTTCTCTGAGAACAATACTTAAGTAAATTTTCAGAGTTACTTTAGGTTCAAGAAAGAAATCAGAATTATTTAATGGAGCCTTCCTAAAATATGTAGAGACCATTATGCAGTATTTCCACACAATATAATCACTCCCTTAAATGAAACAGGAATTACTTCCCTTCTGTATGTCTTCATTTAGAATAGAATAGAATAGAATAGAATAGAATAGAATAGAATAGAATAGAATAGAATAGAATAGAACAGAACAGAACAGAAGAACAGAACAGAATAGACAGGGACCTTGGAGGTCTTCTAGTCTAGCCCCCTGTTCAAGCAGGAGAACCTATATCATCTCAGACAAGTGGCTGTCCAGTCTCTTCTTAAAAACCTCCAGTGATGGAGTGCCCATGATTTCTGAAGGCAAGCTGTTCCACTGGTTAATTGTCCTCACTATTAGGAAGTTTCTCCTTAATTCCAGGTTGCTTCTCTCTTTGATCAGTTTCCAGCCATTGTTTCTTGTCCTGCCCTCTGGTGCTTTGGAGAATAATTTGACCCCCTCTTCTTTGTGGCAGCCCCTCAAATACTGGAATACTGCTATCATGTCACCCCTATTTCTTCTTTTCTTTAGACTAGCCAAACCCAAGTCCTGCAGCTGTTCTTCATATGTTTTAGTCTCCAGGCCTAGAATCATTTAGAATCATTCAAGTATTGATCAGCATAATTTACTATTACTAATTTTCTAAAAATTGTCCTAGACTAAGTCTGTGTTAGTTTCCATTTGAGTACAATAAAATGGTACCCTTATAACAATATAATGTATAATGATAGTGATTGTATAAGTTATATTACATTTATCTTGTATACACGATGCAGATTTTATACACATGTGTGTATGTATATATAATGAGCTTGCATTTCATGTGCATTCACGTACACTCATGTGAAAAAGAAAGTACACCCTGTTTGAGTTCTATGGTTTTATGTATGAAGATATAGTAAAAATCTCAGCAGTTCTTAAAAGTGGTAAATATAACCTCAGATGAACAATGACACATGAACATATTACACCATTTGTCTATTTTACAAAAAGAAAGCCAAAATGGAGAAACCATGTGTGAAAAACTAAATACAACATTACCGCTTCCATAGGAATGAAGAGACTAAGTAGTAGTCAGGTGCTGCTAATCAAGTGCCCTTGATCAATTGATCATCAGCACATATGACTATCTCGATAAAAACTGAAGTTTTAGGAGTGTGCTGGTCTCCAGCATTGAAGTGTGTGTTAACACAATGCCATGGACATCAGCAATGATCTTAGAGAAGTAATTGTTGCTGCCCTTCAGTCTGGGAAGGGTTATAAGGCCATTTCCAAACAATTTAAAGTCCATCATTCTACAGTGAGGAAGATGATTTTTACTATGTCCATAGACCATAGATCTCAAAGAGGGTATACTTTCTTTTTCACATGATTTCTCTAGTTCTCTCTGAATTTTATATGAAGTATATTGCCAAGGCAACTGACACCTCTGTATTTCATTGAGAATAACATACAATCTGTCATTGTGGCTGGGCTTTTATATACTCATATTGCTGTTGTTTTTAGGGGAAATATTATGCAAAGCCCAGAAATAGGGTAAAAATTAGCAAAGAAAGTAAATTAAAGGCAGGAGATAAGGGGGAGGAGGAAATAAAATATTATTCTCTATCTCCACTCCCTGTAGTTGGACTCATTTTGTATTCTCTCATCTTATTCCCAATTACTCAATTGTGTCATCTAGCAATCCATTTTTTTCCTGAATCATATTAAGATCGTTGTGTAATTTTTCACAAAACTGTGGTTCTGTCCTTATCACCATTCATTGGAGCCTAATGTGATTATGTTAGGATTTATGGATTTCTAATTTAATACAATTGATTATGTGCCATCAAGTCAGTATTACTGTTACTGATCACCACAGATAGATTTTTCCATGATGATTTGTCCTAATATGGCCCTTCCAATGGCTCATCCATTACCATTGTAACTGAGCCCATCCACTTTGCTGTTGGTTGTCCTCGTCTTCTTTTTCCCTCTACTTTTTCCAACATTAGAGGCTTCTCCAGAGAGCTAAGCCTTTGCCTATTGTGTCCAAAGTACAATAATTTGAGCCTGGTCTTGTGTGACCTGAGTGAAATCTCTGGTTTTATTTGCTCAATTATCTATTATATGTTTTCCTGACTGTGTATAGTATTCTAATGAGTTCTCTCCAGCACAAAGTTTCAAAAGCATTACTAATTTTTCCATTCTTCTTGTTCAAAATCCAACTTTCACCTCCATAAAGTATCACAAACAATGCCATCGCCTCCACTATTCTGATCTTTGTAAATATTTCATGGTAGTTGAACATCTTTTCCAAAGCCACTTTGGCTGCTCTACCAAGTGATAGTCAGCAGCATATTTCTTGATTGCTTGTTCCTTTGCTGTTGATGATTGTCCCAGTCATCCTGAGAATTCTTTTTTTTTTTTTGGGCCATTGTGCCACAAATACAACCAAAGCCCAGTTTTAACCCAGACTTATTCATTTGATTCTATGTAAAGGTAGAATCTCTAATCTAAAGACTACTTTATAAACCAACTGTCATGGTTCCGATAGATGAAACCAGTAAAAGAACTGCAAGGCAAGAATTCTTCCTTAAAGAACATTTTATTAGGAAACAAAGTATCGGCACTTACAGTACATAGTTGAACCCAAAACTGAGATTCCCTTCCCCCAGATACAAAGTAACAAGTTGCAATTCCCATCCCACAAACACTGTCATAAATCACATTCCCCAATTAACGCAAGACACGGGCTTTTCTTACCGGCCCCTGAGCCCGCCAAAACCTTATCAGACCATGTCCTTGAGTTTCCACACTTCTACATTGTTATGGCTAGCTAAACCCTCAAGCATTTACCCCATCCCCCCTTCTATATCTGCACTCTAAAAAAATAGGAAAGGCACGCTAGAAGCAAAAGTAAAAATGGCTGCTGATTCTCAGTTGTCAGAGCGACGACATCCATTGTCACAGCATTGACACCAACATACTGTTGGCCTGCATCTTATCAGCCTGAGATATGTGCCAGATGTATACTCAAAGCTATAGGATCTTATTAAATAAATAAATCCTATATAACTTGCTAAGAGCTTCGAGTGTCTAATTTATCTAGCCGCCCATCTATTCAAGAAAATGTAGGCGGTGAACAAACAAAAACAAAGACTTACATTAAAATAACAATCAACTAAAACCACATTAAGGCAAATAAAAAACACTAATGGCCTACCCCCAGTACCTGGGGAATTATACTGTATTTTTAATCCTGAATACTGGAAAAGATATTGCTCTTCAAATCCTTCTGTTTTCAATTCAGAGAAGAGATATCTGTGAAGAATTAGTGAAGAGTCAAAAAGTTTTTTCTGAGAAGCTGAATCACTTGAGTCGCCGACTTGCTTGGATCAATGTTACTATTTATTCAAAGGTGAGAGGGAATGCAATTAAATTCTAGAATGCCATGCTTAAATCTGGCCCAGATAGTCCAACTCTAGCGTAAAAAAAATTAAGAGAATTGTGCTATTGCTTCCTGCATTTATATACTCTATTCCTGCAAAATTATCTGTAGGGTTTATATTACGAAAGAATTGTGCACATTAATAATGAACTGACTCAGTTTTAATATAGTATATTCTTGCACTCTTCGGGTATTTTGAGAGTGATAATTATATCAATCCAAATTTGTATATAAGGTCATAAATGTGACTTATTAGCAGAAAAAAGTAGTAACAGGCTGCTCAGAGTTAAGGATTGTTAACTCTTTTATTACTTAGCAAAGTAATAAAAAGGTGACTTCAGCCAACAGGCAGGTAGAGGAGAGACCAATAAATCCATTTCCCTTCCTCTTCTACTTTGTGCTCTGTGCTGGCTTTTCTTGTTCAGTGACTAACGTGAAAAGTAAATGGGTGGATTAGAGAGGGTGGGACGCTCACTGTTTCCACCAGTCTCTCCGTTGCCTACCTGGCATTCTTGATCACCTATGACTAGATGGATACATAGTTAATGTATAAAGAAGTTCTAATCTTTGTGTGTGTGTATGTGTTTTCAAGTCAGTGTTTATTCCCGGTGACTGCCTGACTAGTCCCTGTGGTTTCTTGGCAAAGTATTTTGGAAGTGAGGTTTTCCCTTGCATCCATCCCAGGGCTAGGAGAGAGTGACTGGCCCAAGGGTACCCAGCTGGCTAAGGCAAGACCAGAACTCATGGTCTCCCAGTTTCTAGTCTAATGCCTTAACTACTACACCAAACTAGTTCTCTTCTAATATCTTACATACCGTATATACTTTTTCTGCCACTTGAAGTACGAATTAACTCAGAATTCCCCCTCTACAGGAGAAGATGCAAGATATATACTGGTTGTTACGGGTGTGCATTCGTACAATTGAACATGGGGACAGAATTGGCTCACTCTTTGCATTCATGCCTGAGTTTTATCTGAGTGTAGCAATGAATAGCTACAGTGCTCTCAAGAACTACTTCAGTCCTGTTAACAGCATGGAAGAACTTCCAGGTGAGGATATCTTTAAGCAGGAATGGTTATATTTTGAATGTAGAATCCAGCATGGACAAGAAAAAACATGAGAACACAGAATCTGGCATCTGGCACCAACTTCATTTTGCTAACAAGCTTTTTTTCTGTTAAAATAAACACATATATGTTAAAATGCCCTTATGGAAATGGAATGAGGTTCCCCCTGAGATTCAAACGGCCTATCCTACTGGTGTTTTGAAGACTCTGATAATCTGGCTCTTTCCCTGAGCCTTTGGTGAGAGCGATTGAAGCCCCCTTTCCTTCTTTTGCCCCATCCAGTTTTGCTGTTTCTGCCATCCTTATTATTTTTGGTTATCTTGTTGTTTCCTTTTTTAACAATTTATAAATCACCCAGAATTTCTGAGAGTCAGCAGCATATATATATTTAATATATTTTTGTTATTATTATTATTATTATCATCGATGTGCAGACAATATGGCAGAGGTTTGTGTAATAGGGCAATGATATTTTCTCAGCATCTGAGGTGTCCTATGTTTCATATACAGCACACAAATTATGGAAGTAATGCCATTCCATAATTCTAGGTCTGATAATATTTTCCTTATTTATTTTCACTTAAATAAGTAAATAAAAGTTACTTCCTATCATTTCCTGAGAAGAAGGAAAGGTGTTAAAAATTAGGCTTAACAGCTATGGGCTTCTTTTCCTCAGAACTTTTTCTTTGTTTTCCCATTATTGAAATAGAGAAAGACTTTTTTAAAAAAAATCTTGAGGGTATTTCCTTTCTAGAACTGGAAAAAGTGTCTTTTTGTTCACTTTTTAAAACTGCCTTCCCTCCTTGATTTTGGATTCTGTCATGTTTTCTGTTCTTATCCTGCAGTTACTCTTTTTAGGAATTAATGTAAAATTTACCTCCCTTCTTATCAGATGCTACAGTATGTACAGATAGTTCTCACCACAGACTACTCTAGATTGGAAATTTCTCGTGCACTCTGGCCCTTGAGATGAATTAATACAAGATAATTCAGACCAGTTGTTCTAGATCAGTGGTGGCGAATCTATGGCATGGGTGCCAGAGGCGGCACTCAGAGCCCTCTCTGTGGGCACGAATGCCATCGCCCCAGTCCTAGGCCTTCAGCTGGGTTTTATAAAAAATTTTCCCTTTAGGCCTCTGCCACCGTGTACAAAAAAAAAGGTTCAATCTATCAGTCAATTTCAACTTCTCGCGGGGAAAAAAAGATCTTGCAAAGTTGGAATTGATTGATTGAACTTTTTAGTCCCACCGAGTCTGCTGTTACCACCGCAGCCACGCCCACCCAATGGGCCACACCCACCCGGCACCCAACGATGCATAAGTGGGTTTTGGGTTGCAGTTTGGGCACTCGGTCTCTAAAAGGTTCGCCATCACTGTTCAAAGATTCTATTTGTTGCTCCAGTTTGAATGTCTTGTATGAATTCCTCAGCCTTAATGTTCTTCTTTTGGAACAGTTTTGGGGTAACAAGTATAACCATTTTCATAATCTAACACGGGGGGTAGCAGAAATTCATACTTGAAAGTTTGTTGTCGAGTATTAATCTTAAATAAGAATATTTGTGCTTGCTTGAAAACTCTAATGTTAGGGCAGGTAGCTGGTTCTGCATGGGATTGAAATGTTTTAAAAAATCAACATTAAATAAAATATGATATTTCTTTATTGCAGTAATCCAGAAATACCCATAAAGCTTTTCATAAACTGTCCATACAAATGGAAATGTTATTCCTAGAGAGACTGATGTATATGTCCAGGAAAATCCACACTAAATAAAATTAGCTCAGTGTAAACATCAGTCATGTATTTGCAAGGCAAATTTGCCTTGAATGGGGAAAGATGCAGACTTGCTCTCCTTTGGTGTTGTTAATCATGAAAAGCTGGATTTCTGGTTTGCCTCCCAAGAATTCGAAACAAAGACATAAATAAGAAAACTAATTCTAGACATCTGTTCTATTATACTGGTGAAAATGCAGGTGCAGAAATTTTCTATACATTTGCAGTCTTTAGTATTTGAAACTTCTTTTCAGGCTATGAAGATACATTGACACACCTTGCTGCCATTTTAGCCAAACATTTTGCTGACCCAAGGATTGTAGGCACAGGTAGGTCGCTCTTCCTTTAAGGGATATCTTTTCTTGGTTGTAAGCTGGGGCTAGTGGAGAGTGGGGAACTATGTCCTAATTGGTTAGTGGCAGTGACAAAAATACTAGAGAGGATCAAAAACAAAACTGGGTTGAACCACCTATTTGTTTATCTCTTTTTGTGGCTCTCTCTTTCTGGGACGGAAGAGATAATTTTTGCCAGAGATTCTTACTGAGGCTTTCAAAATGAGGCCAAGGGTGATCTGAAGCTCAGTAGGATGTCCATGATGGGCTGTAGAAAATAAAAACAGCAGACTAAATTTGTGGTTATTGATTGTTCTCTGATTTCCAGTTGTCATTTTGGGAATAGCAACGGGGGTGTTGCTTTTTCTTATTTATAGAATTTCAGTCTAATGCAGAATGAAATCATTTATAACTTGTTCATCTCTTGGCTGCTTGTTTACCTCCCATTATTTCAGTAAAAATGCATTCTCGTAACCAGAGTTACAGTTACAGTTAGATTTTCTGTCTCATTAACATTCTCTTTTATTTTTATATTCAGACATTAGAGACTCTCTAATGCAAGCATTAGCCAGCTACGTTTGCTATCCCCACTCACTTCGGGCTGTGGAGAGAATTCCAGAAGATCAGTAAGTGCTTGGTATTTTCTTCCCTGAATAAAAATTGTATGTCCTAAAACAGGTTGCCTCTTTTCTTCCTTAGGTTAGGCACAAGTTTTGTAATTCCCTGTGGTTCTTGCATGCATGAAAATGGCCTCTTCTACTTGTTGGCATTGCATTTCTACTTCTTCCTTGCCTTGTATTTCTCTCCCCCTATTTTGGAGCTGATTGTTTGTCTTATTTTGGCAGACGAATATCCATGATGAGGAATCTACTGGCCCCGTATGAGCAAAGACCTTGGGCACAGACTAACTGGATTCTTGTACGACTGTGGCGTGTAAGGATAGATTCTCTCTTTGTTTCTCAGCTGGTTTAGGAGGTTCAGGTAGCTTTAAAAGCAGCAGGTGCCCTCTGCATGAATTCTCTTATTACTGTTTGCACACTTATTTCTAGTGAGAGAGTCTCAGATTTTCTTGTGAAAAGTAATGGAACCCAGCATCCTTTTCTCTCCCCCCCCCCCCTTTCCCCTCTAGGGCTGTGGATTTGGATACAGGTACACGCGGCTTCCTCATTTGCTGAAAACCAAACCGGAAGATGCCAATCTACCAAGCTTGCAGAGTGAGTGGGGAATTGGGAACAGAAAAGTGTTGCTTCCCCCCCCCCCTATTCTGGTCAACTGTTGGTTCTAGTGGCAGGAGAAAACAGTTTTCTGGTATGCTATTATTATAATTATGCCACATTCTGGCACTTTAACTGATACCACAGAGGCTTCACTGCCATTGCCAAGCAGGTTTGACAACTGGAAACTCATGATGTTTAGTAGTTTAAATATGTTGTCTCTTATTCCGGCTGAAGCCCTTCTTTCCCCGTGGCATTTGTGCTGTTCCCAGATCAGCTTGGCAACATATGGATCGTACATGGTCATCTTTACTGGGTGGCAAAGCCAATAATTTCTGGCTTTGCTCTGGTTCAGACAGAATTGCCAAGAAAGCAAGTGATGTGAATCCTAGAACTTTGAGGGAGACACTTAAGCTGTGGCAGGAACATCTGCCTCATCCTGGCACCAGAGTTTTCTTCACACTTCACGGCGGTTAAGCTATTGAGAGGCTAGGCATTTTGTTTGTCTGTAGAAGTGAGCAGATGTATGTGACAGTATTTCTGAACTTTAGAAATACAGAATGTGCAGAACATAAAGTAACAACAAGGAGGAAAGTGTGGCTCCGCCTGAGTGCCAGTTTCTTTACCCTTTCTTTGGTCAACTAGGGAAAAAACGGAATAGCTTGCTAATTTTTTTTTTTGACATGTTTAGATTAGTAACAGAGAAGACAATTATAGTATGTTTCAAAACTTTTTATCCTCCTGTTTAACTTCCTCTTTTTTTCTATTTTGCTTCTAATTTATTGTACGAAGATCTCAATAATTGTCATCCCTCCATAGTTTTCAGCATGTCACCAGATACAGTCTTAAAATTCCTATAAAAATATAACTGGGAGAAACAGAAATTGTAGTGGAATATGATCAGAATAAATATAGTTGGGCAAAGTGTAAAACATTTTCCAATTTTCCTAAGATTATAATTTAAACAGTAACATTAAATGAATGTAAGAGGCTAAGATTATTTGGGGAGAAAGTCTTCATTAGGGATGCTGTAGGGCAGGTAGGCTGTGCCCTCCCTTAAGGAAACCACTTTTACAACATTTAACTCTGTCATGCACTCAGCACTAGATTAATATTATATGCAAGTTCCTTCTTTTCTTCCTTTATCACTTGGTGTTCTAAGCTAAGGCTGTTCTCCCAGAATTATCAATTTAGGATGCTTTTGCAAAAGTTGTTTGGAAGTTTGAGAAACTGTAGTTACAAGCTGTAGGGGGAGCTTTGGTTTCTCTTTTGTAGAGAGCAATTCTACATCTGTCTAATTTTCTGATTTAATTGTTGCTGTTTTAATTTGGAAGAACTGTATTATTATTTGCTTATTTGAATGACACTTATGAGTTAGGTTGATATAGACATTGTGTTAACAAAGAAATAACTTCCTTCAGGTTTTAGATTGAGCTGCTAACCTTGTTGATGCTGGGAAGCCAAAATTCTAGGAATTGGTAATGTTTAGCCTTGGGAAAAGAAATATGGTGGGATAATTTGATTCCAGTCTGTAAAGCCCAGACCTGTTCTTTATGCCTACAGCGTTCAGGACATGAAATCATGGATTTAATCCATAGTGTGGACATATTCTGGTTGAATGTTACTAAAGCAAACATACTAACAGCAAGTTGACAGTGGATTAAATTACCCAGATAGGCTGTGCTCTGTTAGGTATGTTAAAACAAAGACAAGAGAGCTATTTGACCAGAATGTTTTTTGTTTGGATTCCCACACTGTATATAATCCTTCTGGGACTTGCCATGTAAAGATTCTTTAATATTTCGCCCTTTGTGCTCAGTTCAAACAAAAGTCTGCTTTTTTCTAAACACTGGGATGAGGTACTGCTTTGGTGTGGTTGCTCCTTTTCTAGTTGCTGCTGGACTCCAGGCAAAGCTCCAAGCTCCAGGCAGGACTCGCACCAGGATATGCTGTTCACTGTAGCTTGTGGTCCTGGCAGTTGAGTAATAGTCCTCTTGACCACTTGTAAATAACTGCCAATCTCCACATGTCGCCTCTGGTTCCCTGTCTGTATACCTTTGCTTTTTATCTTTCCTGCTACACATCCCCGTCTTCACTTAGTTTTAGTTTTCTAAGCTAAGAACCTGGATGGGGGGGTGAGACTGCCTCTGGACACCAGCATGTTCTTGAAAATGCCAAAGTATGGCTCAATTATCACAAGCAACTGCAACACCAACTTGGATGCCTGGGAATAAAGTTGTGCATAAACATATAAACTGTATGAGGGAAGTGGGGTTAAGAAAGTTATTGCCTATCTGCAGCTGCTTTTCCAAAGTGCAGATAGCAACCCAGCTTTACTCCCTCAAACTGCACTGGGAAGGGACTGGCTTAATGGGCTAAGTGGCTATTTCCAACTCTGAACATACACAATATATGTCTGCATTTGGCAAGAGTTTTTGAACTAATGAAAAGAGTAATAATTTCTGTCCTATACGCAGAGTATCTCAGGCATAATTCTTCTTACAGTCGTTCAGAGAGATCCCATAAAGCAAGGTTAAAAATTATTTATCTTATAGCTCAGGAAAAAGTGCCAGCAGTAATATCCAATTACCCTTTCTTTAAAAAATCAGTGTTTTTCATCCGTATATAATCATTTCTTTATTTCTTGGATTTAGGAGTTATCTCTTGCTAATATTCAGGCTAAACTTCCCGTTATCTTTTCAATGGTAAAAGGGCCCTTTAGCAAGATCTCTCTTCTCTTTCCTTTGCTTTCAGATAAATTGTCAGTTGTAAAAGAGGCTCAGTGTTTGGAAACTAGAGTAGGAGGGTAAAGCAACGCTATTGGATGTCCTGAACGATGTCCTTAAAAGTTGTATTAATGTTTATGGTGATAATATCATATATGCATCAAGGTGGATGAATATACATGCTTTTAACTGGAGGGCAGTTTCTGAGTACACAGCAAGGATATACAGTATGGCTGTTGCCCATGTGCTATCCGTTGCACATTCCTTTTGTACCCATGCCATTTACACTTCTCCTCATTTTTATTCTTCCCTGCCCCCTTTTTTCTTAAGATTCTCCTCCAGCAAAGATAGAACAGGAAAGATCAGAAGATAATAGTTTCTTCCCATCAAAGTCATGTCCAATTCTGACTCGGATATGCAACTTAGTGGGCTTGGCTGAAGCTGTTGTGGTGCTCCATCCCTGCCACGAGCTTGTGAAACCTCCTGGGCAATGGGGCATTGTTTTCCTTCTCTTGTTGCTGGCAGGCTCTGACAGCTTGGTGTTTGTTTCTCTGGGAGGCTCCAAAAGATCTAAGGCAGGCCATTAGATCCTTATGCTACTGATACTTCTCTCTGCTATTTTGAGGTGTACAGTATTGAATAATTAATACCAAATTAATTGAAAGAAGATAGCCTAATTTAGCCCAAAGGGAACGAGCCTTCTCCATCTCCCCAAAGTCTTTTTTATGGTGCAAGGAGAAAGAGGATATAGGCAACTGTGGAAGGTCAGGTGTTCTCTGGCTCTTACTTGGTGTGGAATTTCTTTGAAATTGAATTTGAAAACCTTCAGATCTTTCTGTCTGGTAGAATTGCTCATGATTAACATTTTCTGAATCTGAACTCAGCTAGATTGTGGAGAGATCAAGACTCAAATTTAACCATAGAAGCTTACTGATATTTTAAGCCACTCATTATCTCTAAAGCAACTTACTTCATAGGTTAGTTTGGGAATAAAATTGAAGACAGGAGTACTGTTTGTGCACTTTGAACGGTTGGAAGACTGGCAATAATTATAGCAAAATATGAATGCTGTTTTTTATTTAGAAGAAATATCATTACCAAATTGCCTTGAAATTTGGGGAAACATTATCAATAATCAAGTTATACTTTAATAGAGAATGCTTCTTCAGTGCTGATTTTCTTTCCTTATTTTTCTAAAACATGTAGAAGAATGTTTGGAAAATAGAAAAAAAGCATAGAGAGCTGTAAGATCTTCCTTCAGCTGCCCGGCGGGTGTCTCTTTCATCAAAGTTGACCACTAGCATGTTCTAAAAGTGTACGATTTGAGTCAATTTCTGCTTGCCTCTAAGTTTTCTAACACTGCAAGGAGAGAAGAGTAATAAAGAAGTAGTCGCTTGAAATTCTTTTTCAATTGCTTTATCAGCTCTGCTTCATGGACCCTGACAGCCTGCTTCAATGTGCAGTATTTATAGGCTTGATGTCACGATCTATGAATAGACTGGCTGTTGTGGGGTGGAAATTCCCCCTGAGATTTCTGACTTCCTGTCTTTCCTTTTTTTTTAAATTAAACATTTACATGTTTGTTTATAATTACAATTTATATACATTATATAATGTGACCTCACCACAATGTGTAACTCTCTGCCATGAAGGCCTCCAAAAGAAAATTAAAGCTTTAGCCAGCTTAATGCATGACCCTAGGGGAGCCATGGGGATGGATGGAGGTGGGGGAGAAGTGAAGCCTTTCAACAGACTACTCCTATAGATAAGAAACATGGCACAAACCTATTGCTTAAATGCTTTACCCATTTCCATGCAAGTTTATAGTCCCTGTGCACTCATCGTCCACAACTACTTAAAAACATAAAAAATTGAACTATTTATAAAGTTGGGGGAGATTAAGAAGAACAAACATACTGATTGCCCAGGCTTCATTTAGATGCCACATTTTGAGAGAACATGAATGCTTCAAGCTTGGACCTTCCCCTTTAAATCAGAGAGATTAAACAAAATTCCTCAAGATTTGCTGCAAGGGCATTATGTAAGTTTTAGCCTTCTCTGCATACCGAAAACCTGCAGTGACCAAGAATGGCTCATCATTAGGAAGCTGAGAATGGCAGTTATGCTGGGTCAGTTGAGATACTAATTCATTTGAGAGGGGTGACAGTCTCTCCAAGCAATACTGCAGTGTAACTCTCCAGAGAAATATTTCTCAAGTAGCAATGTCAGAATTACAGATTTAGGATCAGCAACAAATCCAATCACCACATCACACACAAACAACATTTGTACACTAGAATTTGTTTCTATGTATCAAAACAATTTGCTCAAGTGGGGGCAGGAAGGTAAAGAGAAAGGCATAGAAGTCAGAAAAAAAAGGACACCCAAAAAAGTAGCGGGTACATATAATTTGCTATTCTTGCTGTTGTTTAGCTCTTTTTTCTTTCTTTTCTTCTGTTTTTTCCATTGTCCATTGGAAAACTATTAAATGTTTTAACTATTAAAACTATAAAAAAGATTTAATAGTAATATTTATAAGAAATATTTATAAGAAACAAAATGAAACTGCGTATAGTGCTAGATATACACCTGTGAATGCCAAATATATTCTAGCTCTTCCTCACTTTCATGTGATTGTAGGCTAATGATTTCCAGCTCTTTCTCACAGTGAGGCCTTTTTTTCCATCTGTTTTCTTCCAGAGCCATGCCCATCAACCTTGCTGCAACGACACATGGCAGATCTGTTGCGCAGTGACCAAGAAATGGCACCTAGTTTCCTCAATAGTGTCCTTAACCAATTAAACTGGGCCTTCTCAGAGTTTATTGGCATGATTCAAGAGGTGAGTCTATGGTTCATTATAAATCTAACTCCAAACAAGTAATAAGAAACTGGATAATGAATGCATTTTTGTTATTGTATGTCCTTTGTTAGTAGGGGATAGCAAAATCAGCACAGGTCCTTAGGAATGTAGGGATTTGGCCAACTTGCTTATTAGTTGTGCAGAGAATAGATAGTTTGGGTTAGTATGAGAAAGACTCATGGGATATGCCATGTAGGAGCTGGAGTGTGAAAGGAAACAACAAACATCAGCCTTATTCTACATGTCCAGATTTTGTTTAATTTAAACCTGGAGTAACCAATATGTTCCAGGTGTTAATTTTGCTGATTACTAGCTGAATCGAAATAGTTCAACCTTTCTGGATGTGGTTATTTGTTCTGTGTTTCCCATTTCTTCCATCCCCTATTAAGTTGCGTCCTCTTGTCTGGATAGATCCAACAAGCTGCAGAACGCCTAGAAAGAAACTTCGTAGATAGTCGCCAATTGAAGGTGTGTGCAACTTGCTTTGATTTGTCAGTGAGCCTTCTCAGGGTCTTGGAAATGACTGTCACTCTAGCTCCAGAGATCTTTTTGGATTGGAATCGCCCTTCTTCAGAATTATTACTCAGGAGACTTGCACAGGTATTTTTTTTCTGCGGAATATCACATGCTTCTGTACACATATGCTTAATTCAGAAACATACTAGTAGGTAATGGCCTATTTATGTCACCTTCACAATTTCGCTTCTGAATTAACTTCTAAAAAGTTATCTAGCTGGTTATTAACAGATTGAAGGATGATATATGTAGAACTACAGGATTTTTTTCTCTTCCCCTATTAAAATTATTTTGGCAGCCATTATTTATAATGTTTTGCTGCACGATAAACTCTCGATTTTATGGTTCTTATTTGATTCTATTTAGAAGAAAACAGCAGAGAGAAAAAATAAGGAGTCCATAGTGCTCTGTGAGCTTGGTTGTTTTCTTGCAGATTCTTCATTACCCAACTAGGTAATGTAATCAGTGTACAGTAGCTAGGGCTGGCACTGATCATATTACCTAGTTTGGCTAATAATACATCTGCAAGAAAACAACTAAGCTCAGAGAGGACGAAGGAGTCCACATTTCAATCCTGAGCTACACATATTCTCCTTTATCTAGAAAAGATATAGACACATTTTACAAAATGCATGCATAAACTACATTGTACTATATCGTTAAAACTCTGATAAGTCATCCCAATCTCCTTCTCCCTGCTTTCTTCTTTCAGATGCCATAATGTTTTCTTATATTTACTTATATCTAGATCAAAATATATCAGTAAATCATCCTTCTTGCCAAATATAAGAATATATTTAAATGTTGCTAGATCATACATACAACATGAATATATAGTGAAGATGACAACTGATATTTACAGGAAGGAAAAGGCATACACATAAACTAGGATACATTTGTTCAACCTCATTTTTCAAATATCTCTGGGAAATTGCTTTGTCATATACATGATAATGATATACATTGCTTTGTCACATATATTTGGGCTTGACTGTTCATGCAAAATATTCAGACTATACTGATATGTTTTCTTGGAGTTTAAATGCAGTAAAATCAGCCCAAACAACTTGTTTTTTACATTCCAAAACTAGCGAATAAAAAAGGGAAAAAATAAACCTCTTGGAAGCAATAAATTATTTTGAATTGGATTTTCAAAGAGTATGGTCTTTGAGACTCAAGGCAATGTGTCTTTCACACTTGATCTTGTTGGATTCTATTACTTGCTGTCCCCAAGGTCCATTATCCAAAAGAATGAAAAGCTAAAATATTTCTTTCAGTGGAAATACTTAGAGCAGGCATGTCAAACTCACGACGTCACGTGACGCTGCGCGATGTATCAGGACTTTTTCCCCATTGCTGGCAATAGGGTGGGTGCGGTTTCAGCGTGACGCATCCGGCCCGCATGATCTAGAGCCTAAATTGTGTAATGTGATCTTAGTTTCAGACTAAGACTCTGATCTGCTGTCACTGTTTCATTAAGAGCTCTGCATATATTTTCATATGATGGTTGGTATCTGCTAATACTATGTTAATATTCATCTAAGGACCTTCAGGCATCTGGCCAGCTCCATTCAGTTGCCCTGACTCCACCCCAATAAAAGGGATTACAGGGTTGTAAAAAAAATGATTTAAGGACCTAAAGGACAGTACAGGATCTGTACTGTAATGCATTCAGCATTTCCATCCAAGGCTGAGTTTTTAATATTTTTTTTGAAGATTGAAAATGCCAGAGAATAAGAATGAGCAACCACCCTTAAAATTTTTCCTCATGCCATTACCCAAATTCAATGTTTCCACTATATGCACAGTTTGAGATTGTCTGAGCTTTGCTGTTCAGATGATGAAGCAAGTGTGCAGTCAGAAAGTATTCATCTCTGTTTCAGTATTCACTCTTCTTTCCCTTTTCCTACAGCTGTTAAATCAGGTGCTAAATCGTGTAACAGCTGAGCGGAACTTATTTGACAGAGTGGTGAATCTTCGGCTGCCAGGTAAGCTGCCTTTTCTTCCTTTCTGCAGTCGTCTCCCAAAGAAAAATCATATCTCTGTGATAAAACACATATTTTGGATATCCCAGGATTAAAATGTTTAGGAAGCAGATGATAAAAAGTTCTCTAATTCTAGAGAGTTATGTGGAACTCTTCTACTCAGGCTAAATAAGCAAATGATGTAACCTGGCATAAAGTATTTTTAATATTCTTATTTATTGAAGATATTCCCCTTGGCTCTCCTGCTGTTGTTGAAATGTGTCTAAGCGTCTTAAGCATTTTTGGGATCTTCACAAGAGCTTCTCCTATTTCTAGTCCCTTTGGAAAAAAATTAGGATATACATGAGGAGTAATTCTAGGCCAACTTTTTACCTCAGATTGTGGTCTTAGTGTAGTTTATACTGTACCTGTTGTCTTTCTCATGGGTCATTAATATAAAGACCTAAGAGGTGCATCTGAAAATGAAAGAGAACATCTAGTTCTTATGATAACTTTATGCTGACTCTCCCTTGGTTGCTCAGAATTACAGCTATAGGATGTGGGATCTTTTGGCTCTAAACTTTGAAGAGCCATTAAATGATGGCCATGTGCCTGGCCTACTCAAGGCAAGAGATCTGTTCTCATAGCAAGAATTTTAAAATATGAGGTAATCCATAGAGAAGAAAGATATCTTGGGTATGCCCCAAAAGCTAATAGAAATACTATTGAATATGAGTAAGTGCATTTGAATGCAAAACTGATTTGATGTATTTATAAACAAAAAGTGATGTACAGTAAGAAAAATAAAAGAAAAAGAATGTTATTGGATGTTACAATTAAAAATAAAAGTTAATAAAAACTAATAAAAAATTAGGAAGTACAGAAAAGAAAAAAAGGAAAAATAACAGTATAGTATAGTACAGTACAGTATAGTGTTGTGGAAAGAAAGGACTTGAGCCAGCTCTTTGAGAAAGGAAAGGTTTATTGCGCAGGTTCAGAGAGCTACACAAAGCAAAAGGGTCTGAACCCCAAGGAGTGTTCAGAGATCACATATATAGTTCATACAACGTATGCATTTCCTGACCCCTCTGGACCCCATATATGGTAATATTCTAAACATTGTGTTCTCAGCATTCTTGATAGTATGGAAAAATACCAGACGGTTGAACATTGACACAGAGATAAAAATAGGGAATTGGCTACTAAGCAAAGCAGAAAACAGGATATGGCTTAAATGGTCAAGGACAGTGAGGCAGAACATTATCTCGAGACTCAGCAATTTCTGGAATGCTCTCTGCCCCACATCACTAGTACAGTACAGTACAGTATGATGGATGGATGGATGGATGGATGGATGGATGGATGGATGGATGGATGGATAGATAGATAGATAGATAGATAGATAGATAGATAGATAGATAGATAGATAGATAGATAGATAGATGATAGATAGATAGATAGATAGATAGATAGATAGATAGATAGATAGATAGATAGATAGATAGATAGATAGATAGATCTTGCCCCTTCATCACAAGTATGAACAATGTTAGTAACATATCACCAACAACTGATCCCTTCTTCCCACATCTGATTTCTTATCTATAAACAGGCTTGTCATTCAGGCCGGCAAAAGTCCATTAACAGTTACCAGAGAACAATATATCTTTTTAAATCTTAATCAGATAAACTAATTTTACATTTCTTCTCTTAACTTTTAACAATCTTGATTTTTAATATCTTCAAATAATGTCCTAGAAATTAATATTTTTCCTTTTTCTTTGTCTCCTCAATAGAACCTTCAAAACTGTAACAAGCCTCTTTTGTAAATCCAGTATAGAAAAGTTATCCAAGTCACTCTTCTGAATTGTATTTGTATGTTCCTTTTAAAATATCAGCCACTTTCAGTTGTATATCCAGTATATCATCTTTCTCTAGATCATTCTTGTAGCCTGTAATTTTTAAATATGCTCGGCCCTGAGAAATGCCACCTCAGGACCCACATCCAACGACACTGGTACCATTGTGCAAAGCCCCAATAGCCCTTGCTTCCCTATGTGTCACAGGATCTGCCGTGCCCCATCTACTTTGCCATTTTTCTTTAGCTGCTGACAGGTACGCCCAGACTATGTGAGGTGGCTGCTGACCACACCAGGCCTTCTTACTGAGGCCACCTTGCAACATTCTTCAAGCCAAGTCTCCTTCTCGCCTCAGGCTTCCAAAAGCTTCCAAATATCCACAATTTTGCAGTTTTTTCAGGGTTTTTTCCAAGTATCTTTGTAAGTCTAGGTAGCAAGTACTCTCTCTAGTGCTAGTTGCATCCCTGTTAAAATTTGTGAGGGAAGGAGTGTTTTATCTTTTTTATATGTATGTGTCCAAAATGGCTCAAAACAGAGAGGAAAAGGAGTTTTGCTAAAGACTTGATAATTGGATAATTTAAAACAAATTGCTAATCAAATGAACCAGTAATTACATTCTAGACTCTTAGGGAATGATATTACTTGGTGATGATCTATACTAGTTGGTCCTCATCTATGGCTCCATCGGGAGTCATAAAAGAGTCTGCATTAGTATTAATATTTATTTTGTACCTCTGCTTTCCTCTTGTAGGACTGGAAAGTGTAGACCACTATCCAATCCTTGTTGCTGTGACAGGAATTTTAGTCAGGCTGCTTGTTGATACTGATTTCCAAGGGTAAGTGCTCTTTTATTCTACTCTATGGACTGATACATTCATTGCTTGCTTTCCAGTCTGTTTACTTACTACTGTTTTATTAAACTGAAATCAATCGCTCTTTAACACTGTGTGCGGATCCTGATATAGTATTTAGGTTATCCTGAACTTCATATGCAGAGTTTATTGTAAGGTAGAACAGTTTTCATTATGTTTTATATTTACTGTAACTAAAGTATACATAAAGATACTTAGAACAGGCGACTGGGTTAGATTATTTTGGCATTCACTTCCATTTTTATGAAGTGTAGGAAAAAAGGCTTCCTTTTTTTGCACATCTTTACTTTCTTCTGTTGTTTTTCTAAAGAGAATGACATTGAGGAAAGGTCTTGCGTAAAGATAAAGAAGGCCTGTGTTTCACCCTTTCTGAAGCGGTGGCAGTGAGATTTCTCAAATACCTGTTAAACGTTTCTCCCTTTACTTTCCTAACTTGGGCATTTTTGTGTTTGTAGCAGCAGATACATTAGTTTAGGGAACTCCAACCTTTATTTCCTGGAAGGCAGCATTAGTAGCTTGACAATCAGAGGAAAAAAATTAGGAAGGATCCACCCTTCCTATTTAAACAGCAGTTAAAAATGGTCGTGGGAGAGCAGAGTCATATTTCCTACCTGGTTTAACTGGGAAGGCTGATAAAATCTATAAGGATTTCCAGGATTAATTTTAGCATAGTAAGAAATAAGATGGGTGCAAATAAACCTTATTCTGATCTTGGCTTGTATGATTATCTCAGTGATTCTAAATATTTGATTAGTGAAATTTTATTAAAGCAACAACAAAGATAAATATGAATTGTTTTTATATAGCTGTTAAATACAAAACTGATCATGTTTGCTAGTAGTTAATTAAGAAATTGACTTAATTCAGTGGTGGGATTTAGCCAGTTTGTACCACTTTGGCAGAACTGATAGCTAATTTTTTGTTGCCCAGGCCCAGAATGGACTTCCAGGTGGCATCCACACAGAGAACCAGTTGTTCACATATTTGAATCCCACCACTGACTTAATTATGGTGTTAACATACAGTTTTTAAACTGTATAAGAATCCTATAAGTGTTATCTATGTAATAATTAGCCAGCATGGAGCTGTGATTATTTTAAAAAAATATATTTTAAAATGATACAAAGTGATGTAGGGGGAACTTTTAAAGAACTCAAACAGATATGAAATGCACTCCTGGTAAACACTTATAAGATCAGGTCTTCAAAGTTGATACTTGGCATATTTGGGGATCAAGTTCCTTTTTAGAATACCTGAAGGGCAATCCATGAGAAATTTTAATTTCATGTTTGCCTATTTCATGTAGCTCTGCAGATATCTGCCAACAGCTGAGCCCAATCTGGCTAGGCACTCAGTTCTGACACGAAATTATTTCTGACCCTCTGTTTCCTCACCAATGCCTTCCAGATAGGCAGGCACAAATCAGCCTATTTATATCCCTCTCCTGTGGTCAAAGCAGTGAATACCTCTAAGGCTAATTGTGCCAAGCACCTTTGTTATACTTCCTAAATAAAAAAGAGATTTTCATTTCAAGCATAGTGTAACAGGCACATTTAGACTAGTCATACGCAAATAAAGGCAGATAATAATAATAATAATAATAATAATTTAATTTGTATTGTTGTACTATGCTCTCTCTCTCTCTCTCTCTCTCTCTCTCCACACACACACACACACACACAAACATACGCGCGCGCGCACGCACACACACACACACACACACAGAGCCAACATAAGTGAAGGGAGAAAACAAGCCTGATGTTTGGCTCCAATAGTAATTGTTTTCTTCCAGTGCTGGATATTTTGCTGATGAACTTTGGATGAAAGAGATTTAATTAGTAATGGTATATTGGGTTATTCAGCAAAACCAGAAGAAACTACTGTAAGTCTTTTATTTCTTAATTCCACTAATAAATCTTAATTCCACTAATAAATCAACTAAAACTGTTCTAAATAGTAGTTAAGCCATTGTATACATTCTCACTTTAATATTTAAGGAATGTATACTACAAACTGAAAATATGTTGAAGGCAGTTAAGTGAAGAAAGTATGACTGTCATTTATTTGTCATATTTGTATATCACACACTCCTGGCAAAGTACGCAACTTAGTGCAATTACAGAGGTGCAGGAGCCATGTGATAGAACCCAAGATGGACATCGGGTAGCTTCTTCTTTTTTTTAAAAAAAAAAGTTTTTTATTAATTTTGAAATATCCCCCCCATTTACAAATATAAACATACATTAATACAACTTTAGTATTATAAGTTTTACAAACATAAACGTTAATATTGCAAAACAGCCCGGCAACACCCGACATCGGGTAGCTTCAATTTCAGTTTATGCATGTGACATTGAGAAAACAGTTGTCACAGGACAGATGGCAGAAAAGATTAGGCTTTCTCAATTTAATTATGAACTTCCAGTAATGGATAAAATTGTAAATTATACAAAAAACAGTGCTTCATCACGGTGGATCAGAGGAAATATTTTTTTTTTTTGCTTTGGGAGAACAATATTTTGTAGAGTACTTGAAGCATTCTTAGTATTTTTGACTTATTTGTGGTTGGACTCAAAATTAATATTATATGTGGCATACTCATATGATAGAAGAAATTGGATGAAACCTTAGTTTTCAATTGCAAAATGACTTTTCAGTCTGCAACACTTTTTTTTCTTTGCTTCAAAATGTGTTTTGAAGAGATTGCTTGAATTATTATATTATTCCTCCATTAGACTGTTTATATCATACAATTTGGTTCAGATCACATCCATTAGTGAATGCATCTGACAGGATCTTGAAATGGATATTTTCAATAGCTTTCTTTGCTTTGGAAATTCCAATCTACTCCTTCCTTCCTGGGTTACAGAGGAGCTGTTTTTCATTTAGTCCAGGTGGAAGACATGCTGGGATGCAGTGTATGTTTGTATGTTTTTCTTTGGTTCCTTATAAAGATGTTGGAAATTTTAATTACTTTTTATAGGAAATACTGCTTTTATTCAAGGGATTTTTAAAATGATGTCTTGATTGCTACCTACTCAGAGCATTCAGAAATTAGCATCAATAAGTAAATAAATAATTTCAGTCAAAGCTTAGACCTTGTGTTAAATATTAATTGAAGATTCATAAGTTAATTTCCAATCTTCTGGTCCAAAGGAGAAAAGAAAAATATTGTGACTGAATGATTTGTTATCAGGGTGGTATTGTCAAGAGAGAACTGGTTTCTGGGCTATTGGATGGATTATGTCCCAGTAAGGTTTAGCAAAAAATATGTTCAACCACATCAGCTTGATCAGGAGTTATTGACTGACTGACTGACTGACTGACTGACTGACTGGTTTTATTTGTCCCAACTGCAGTCACAGGCAGAACAAAGCAAATTGTGGACAGTCTTAAGAACACGAACATGCTAGTTTTTGATTAATCCATACCTCACAACAGGTAAAAACAATTAAAAACTAGTTAAAAACCAATATGCAAGTATGTAAAACTTTCCATAATCTATTTAAAAGACATAAAATTGTACATCAGCTCAATACAGCCATTACAAGAACTGTCCACTTAACTTTTTAAAAATAACTTTTTAAATAAGCTGTGGGAATAACATATTTCAGCAAAACATAAGATCACATACTGTAAAATTTTAATTTTTGAATTAAGTATGGGCTAAATGCTTAAAAATGGATACATTGCTAGATCAAAATTCAAAAAGTATTTATCAATGATTCCGTATCACACTAAATCTGAGCTAAGTCTCAAATTTCCCAAAAAAATATCTCTAGCACTTTGCTTTTCAATATTTTTACTAATGACTTGGTTGAATAGATGGAAGAAATGAGACGGTTTGTCTAATAGAGTCACTTCAAACTGCGAGATGGGCAGCAAATATATTTGATAATAATACTAACTTTGCTAAAAGACAGAAGTTAAAAAATAAATACTGCTTGTTATATTAGAAAATGGACAGGAAAAAAACAACATGAAATTTAATAGTGATAGATGCAATGTTCTTCATTTAGGAAACAAAACTCAAATACCAAGATATAGGATGAGGGCTGCCTGACTTGGTAATAATCTTTATAAAAATAATAATATTGGAATAATAATTGAGTGCAAAATTCATATTGAATCCCACTTCGTGCGATTCATGCTTTTTCTAGATTTTGTTGTTCTCACTGATTGTAAATTGAAATATGATAGGGCTGCAAAAAAGGCAAGTTCAATTGTGAACAGAAATGGTTTTCAAATCAGAAAAATAATTGTTTCATTTCATTCTGCTTTAGTTTGACCCAACCTTGAATATTGTATCCTATTTGGACACTGTTGTAAGAAGAATTCAGATTTTATAAATCTCTTTTCATACAACTATTTCTAGTCCGCTATCACCCTCATTGTTCTTCTCAGAGCCTTTTTATTTTTTCCTGAATTTTTCTTATAGCAACAGTGCCCAGAACAAGACACAATATTTAAGGTTGGGTCTTAAATAAAAGAACTGGGGGAGGGACTGTCAAGAACTGGTAAGTTGTTTGGATGTTCCTTAAAAAACAGTAGGAAATATATTACTGGTATACAAAAATCCTGCTAATATTGCCAATTCTACTGTATCAAATCTTTTCCTGACTTCCTGATTTGGAAATCTTCTGTTTATTTTAGTAACATAACTCAGTGGAATGTGGGGAGATTTGGATCAACAAACGGATTTAACATTTAAGTAGTGTTTATTGTTCAATTTAAAGGAATAAGCTGAAGTTAGCATTTCTCTGTACTGAAGTATATTACAAGCTTCATACCTTTTATCTTATAGGGATTCCTCAAACTTGACTGTTCAGCATTTGTTAAGATCACATTTGTATACTGAATTACAGAGAGTCCTTGCTTAATGACCATTTGTTTAGCAACCATTTCAGTTTACAGTGGTGCTGAATGAATGGTAGTTATGATCGGTCCTCAAAGTTATGACTGAT